TATATCACATGTTAATATTGGATAAGTTAAATTTTCCGATAAAAGTGGTCACTGCAACCGAACCCGAAGTCGGACAGCCATATATGAAAGATCAATTGACTTCTTAGTTAACATGGTTTCATATCACATGACATAATACGTTAATTTGTTAAATAATTGAAGTAAATCTGAACACAGACATAGTTTGCACCCACTTCAGAACCATTATGACTAATAATTTGCTACTAATATAGACACCTTGCTCATCATACCTATCCAGTCATATTTTAATTAATGAGACCCTGATTGTCTATTTTTATGCTGCTAAGCAGTATGTTAGGCACTTGTCGGATAAAAACAAACATTCAATAGTACCATAAAATAGCGATAAAGAACATAATGAGCGCATGAGTTATTATCAATAAACAAAATCAATGTATAAGTTATTATTTTTATCCCATATATAATATATTTATTATTAAATCAGTAAATATTTAATTCAAAAAAGCATTTAACAAAATATTTTATAATTATAATAAATAAAATATTTTCTAAAACAGTAATACTTATACAATGTTATCAAACATTATTTAAACAACACAGTTTAAAACAGTTTTTATTTAAAAAATGAGTGATAAAAAAAGTTTTTTGCATAAAATGTACAGATTTTATGAATTTATATGTTTACTATCGGTCGAGCCGTTTGTGTTTGTATTCATATTTGTAATGTATATAAAACGGGTGCCGACCGACCAACTGGTTCAGGACAGGGTCTGTCTGGTCCGGTATCACCTAAACAGCACATACTGTCGACAATTGCCCCAAATGGCCTCCGATGACGACTATCTAGATAAAAAGTCAGTCATACTGGCCGACGCCACTCAATACGGTTTGTATTCAATGATAATACTAACGGTGCCGTCGGTGGTGGCGGCCTTATTCATGGGCGCCTGGACTGACAAATACCTGGGCGCTAAAAAGGCCCTGCTCATCGTTGGCGCCCTGGCCGGTGTATGCGAGGCTGTTGTACTCTGTCTTGTTGATTATTTTAATGATTTATGTGAGCATTTTATAAATATTATTAGTTTAATTTAATAATTATTTTTAAAATAATATTTTAATACACATTATGTATAAAAATAGCGCATTTCTATGTGTTGTTGGGTTTAATACCGCAAATACTGTCGGGCGGTATGTTTGCCGTGTTTACTGCCTTCTGGTCATACATCGCGACCACAACTCCACGCAAATGGTTGGCCCTCAGGATGACTATCGCGGAGATTATTATGGCAATAGGTTTGTGCTTTTTCACCTTAATCATATAACCAGTTATATATTAAGTTATTATTTAACTGTAATTAGCGGCCCCGTCGGCCACATATATTGGGGGACTAGTGCTCAACACTAATAGTTTTTACAGCGGCGGTCAGTTATACAATTATTCGGGAGCTTTTATGGTGGGCGGCGCCGCCTATGCGCTGGTGTTGTTGTGGACTATCTTCCGGATCAACGAGACTAAAGATACCGTTGATTTTGAAGCAAAATTTAATACCAATTCAAACACAGAAAGTGGCCAACGAGTGGACATAATTGGCGTAAAACACCGACAATTTGCTGATAATAAACACATTAATCCGTTAAAACTGTTGTTCAGTTGCGATAATATGCGTGACATATGGTATACTTGTGCCAAACCCCGCGCCAATTACGTGCGGCTCCAGATATGGCTACTGTTCCTATCGATGGCCGTGTTTTTGCTTTCATACTACGGGCCACTTGTCTTTCTGTACCCATTTGTGCAGCGAATCTACTCTTGGGATTCCGCTGTCTATAGCAATGTGTTGGCCATCGCCACCATTATCTCGGCGTTTGCCACCATTACTATCGCCCCCATACTTATCAGGGTATTTGTCATTATTAAAAAATTATATTAAATTTAGTTGAATTTCTAAATTTTTAAGTTTTAATTTGTCTGTAATATAAATTATGTTAAAGTAATTATTGATTAAATTTTTTAACAACTAGGTATTTGGCTTCAAGGACACCACTCTATCCCTATTAGGATTAATCGCCTATTTTGGTCAAAACCTAGTCCGGGGCCTAATGTTAAACCCCATGGGTTTCTACATATCGATAGGTGTGGGCTGTTTGGGACCGACGGCTTCGGTGGGCATTCGGTCCCACTTTTCAAAGATAGTCGAGAGCCAAGAGTTGGGAAAGATATCCAGTCTTATGGCTGCCATCGACTCAATCGTACCGCTTATCGGATCCTTTTTCTACACCACTGTATTTAACGCCACAATGGACTCAATCCCTGGCCTCTCATTCATTATCACCGGCTCTCTGCTGGCCATACCTGTGCTGATAGTCCTGTGGATTCATTACTATACAGTTTTGCCCGACAATAATCACGAGTATAGCGGTAATGATGTTATTAATTTTAATCAACGTGAAATAATAACATAATTATACAGTTACATAATTTTTTCATATAAAATATGCTACTATATAATTATTTTAATAGCATTTACTCTGCAAAAAAAATATTTATTAAATTAATTTATATTATATTCTAAAATAAATACTAGACCATGTATCAGCAAAAATAAAAATGTACAATGATAAAATAAAAATATTTTATAAATAACAACAACAATAGCAAAATAGATAACATAACATAATTACACTCTTTTAGCACTCGTTAAGCCATTGAGCAAATCGAAAAAGGGCTCAAAGGCAGCCCTGGGCAGCAGCTGACTGACCACTTTGTAATCTTGAAGTGCGTCTATAGTGTACTCAACCGCTTTGATAATGGGTTTGGCGGGTGTAAACAAGCCGTCACGCGATATATAGCCCCCCTGAGCGGCGGCGAAGGCCTGTCGGGCGGCTACGACCAAACTCTGGGCCGCCTTATGAAAGCCGCCGGCTTTCTCTCCGGTGGTGTTGTTGTACTGCTTTAGATAACTGTCGCCTAACACCACACCGTCTTCGGGCCGGACGTCGGCGATGGGCTCCTCGAAGCGCTTCTTGAGGCGCACCCTTTCCAACGCTTTCTGCGGGTCTTTATTGCCGATCACTGGCATAACACTCATCGACTGTTTGAGCGCTATTGGGATTTGTAGCAAAGCATCTGCGCGTATGGACACATGTAGTTAGTAATTAATATAATAATGCTGTACATGACTAAAGTATACATATATAACGTATATGTAGTAACAAAAATAAATACCATTCATATTGAACACAACGGACGTCATTGTCCGCATGTTGGCCGGCAATGAGGCCATAATAGCGGGCATTTTGGTCATCGTTTGTCGCAATTGTTGGACCACTTCGTTGTCCACATTGGAGTGCTTTTGTGTCGGCATAGCGTCCATGTATTGGTTTAGGTTAGTGACGATCCGCCGCAGTTTGTCCATCGCTCGGTTCATATTGTCTACGGATGTGGTCATGAGCTGCACGTCCGACGTGAGTGTCCGCGCGTCTGTCCGCCGGTTCCGCATGTGATCGCTGACTACCCTTAGCACTGACGGAAATGATTGGGTCACTACTGAGTTATAGTTATCGAGCGCTGCCTTTACTTTTAGAGCTTCAGCTGTTAGACCGGGATTAATCTGTAAAAAACAAAAACTAATGTATATCAAGTAAAATCAATGTAATGTATAGTAATTTAATGCTATCAAGATTAATTGCGGATGTTTTAACTAGATGTTATTTTTTCTGGCGATAAATAGTAGCTGATTTACATAGTTTGTGCAACAGCTCACTTTACAAAATACAATAACCCTTATTAATAATAAGCTATTATCATAATCCCAGTCCTCATAAGCTCAGGACATGGCGTATGTAATGGCCGTCTGTGCTATCAGTACAGACCACAAAAAAGCCTAATGTTTAAGACTACTAACCAATTGCCGGCTGTTTGTGGCATACAGTGGACTATTAGCGCCGACACTTATATTTCGCATTCTGTCCAACGCGGTGTTCAACAGCGCCAAAGTTGTGGGCATTGATAGCGACATACGGGGCATATCGTAGGTGACGGTACCGGCGAACCGGCGCACACTGTCCGACATGCCTATCGGCATATAATTGGACATCTTGTCGGCGATGGCGTTCATATTCATGACGGTGGGCACCATATGCAGGTAGCTGGTGATGAGCGACGTGAACGATGGCAATAGGCTAGAGTAGGCGCCCGGCCGGCCTCCTCTGGCACCTGTACCCCCGTAGAGCGACTGCCGGTCTTTCACCGGGTTGGTAATGGAGGCAACGTTTTGCAAACTTTTCGCAGATATTGAGTCCGGATTCAATAGTGTGAGCGTTTGTGAACGGGTGGACTGGCCTTTGCCGACAGACATTTGGGGCATCGGTTGTTGTGGTTCTACCGGTAAGTCTAGCCATTGAATTGTCGTTAACTCTGGCGCTATGGACACCGGTTCGGTAGTTGTGGGCGATGGTTGTACTGACACCGGTGTCTGCGTAGGCTTTTTGGTTCGCACGGGTGGTTGTACTGTCACTGTAGGCACCGGTCGTTTATTAGCTCTCGTGGGCAATGATGGGCTCTCTGTCGGCGCCGACCACCGCTGGATTGGTATCGTTGGCGTCGATTGTGTTTGCGGTTCTACCGGAGCCGTAAACCGCGGTGACGGTGACGGTGACCACTGTATTGACTTGACTGATGATTGTATTAGCCGTAAACGTGGCATCAATGGCGAGAGTGTTGGGGGCGAAGGCAGATCCCAAGTCGGTAATTCAAGAAACGAGTCCTGAGCCGGTCGTGAAGTCTCTGCCGTCTCTGTCGATGTCGTTTTTGAAGGCGGGGGTGAAGTCCACGCCTGAGTTCGTAAGCGTAGAAATACTGGAGACGATGACGAAGTCGGTGGTGAAGTCCACACCTGAGGCCGTAAACTTATGGATACCGGAGTCGGTGGTGAAGTCGACGCCAAAGTGGGTGCCAAAGTTGGCGGTGAAGTCGGTGCCAAAGTTGGCGGTGAAGTCGGTGCCAAAGTTGGCGGTGAAGTCGGTGCCAAAGTTGGCGGTGAAGTCGGTGCC